ATAAATTGTTTAACTGCAAAATTCTGTTTAAGCAGCAGAAAAAAAAGAAATCATATTACCCCTCCCCCCGATCTATGCATGAAATGATCTAAAAGTCAAAATCATCTTCATGGGCTACTTCTGGTTTCTCAGTGGAAAATACTGGTCATTGGAGAATTATAACAATTATAATAGATTGTGAGCATCTCATCCTCTTGAACAAATATTCTCATATGTTATTTAATGAATAAGCAAATCATGTGAAATAAGCTAAATTTTAAAACTTTTAAAAAATATATTCTCGATTCAAATTATCTTTTAAGAAATTCCTAATTGTTAGAATTCCTAACATTCAAATCCTCTATGGGATATCTGACAGTCTATACCAACTCTTTGATGTCTTACTTGCAGGTTGAACTCCGGATCGAATATATCTGAAGTGTCAATGGCAAATTGAGCTTCACCATTCTCATCTGTAGTGTAATTTCCTATAAATTTGTTATTGAGATTCAGTTGCAACAACTTGCTCACCATAGGTACATCATTGGGACCAGAAAATTTAAGCTGTGCAAAAAAAGAAGTATTAATATTCTTAAAACACCAAATTTTCACATTTCTACAGAAAACAAATTTTCTATTCATAAATGCAATCACTTAAAATTTTCTTAAACTCTAATAGACAGCAAGATGCTCTATTAAATATACGTGCATAAAATATGGAAACAGCTATAATTTTATCTATTGCTTTTTTTCAGCCTAGGACTTTTTTCAATATTTCAGACACGGTAATGCTAAAAATGTATCATGAAAGTAGGAAAAAAGTGGCCAGAAATGTCCAAAGGGCAATCTATGATTCAGAAAAAAAGAAAGGGGAACATGTATTTTTTTAGTCAAACCTACAGTTCCAAAATAAGGAATCCCTCTTCTATAGAAAGTGTCCATGTTCTCAAAGTTCACACTTCCAAGAGACTGAGTGACAGAAATAGAAGTCTTTTCACTGATCTGCACACCTGTAAGAGATGATGAAACACAGTGTTAGTGAGGATTTAATTGTTTGAACAAAAAATTAAAAAGAACAAAGCTTAGGGTACCTGTGAGAACTTTCTATACACAGAATTCTATTCTTGTTTTATATTGAAAAAGAGGTGTGAATGCTCCGAAGTATATTTCCAGCACATTCTACATTATCTGGTTATAAAATACTTCAAATTGAAGAATGAAATTAATATGAAAATATTTGAATCAGAAGCAAGAGAAAAAGCTCTTAAGTTCCTGCCTCCTACCAGTCTATTCAGTTCTGGCTTTTGACTCTCTTTATGATGGAGAATGTCAAATATAAGGCTTTCTGAAATCTTTCTTATGCCTGCAAAATAACTGTTTATTTAGACTTTTACCAGATTGGAACAATATTTGATAGCAAAGTAAATAGAAATGCCTTGTGATATCAACTAAACAAGTGAATAAGCAGAGTTAAATATATCCAGCTATGTTACTATTAACAACACTATAAATGTGACAAATTTACCCATTGTGAGTGCCGTCACAATATTGATCAAGTATATTTATATAAAGCACTTTATAAATAATACAATCCCAAACTCTTTCTAAGTAACAAGAAATAATTAGAAATTGAATTTGTTTTCCCTGCCCCAAATTAAATCTCACTTTCCTCTTTTT